CTTCTCTTCTCTTCTCTTCTCTTCTCTTCTCTTCTCTTCTCTTCTCTTTTCAATGGAGTCTTGCTCTGTCACCCAGGCTGGAGTGCAGTGGTGTGATCTCAGCTCACCGCAACCTCCACCTCCCAGGTTCAAGCCATGCTCCTGCCTTAGCCTTCCAAGTAGCTGGGATTACAGGTGCCTGACACCACACTCAGCTAATTTTTGTATTTTTAGTAGAGACGGGGTTTCACCATGTTGGCCAGGATGGTCTCAAACTCCTGACCTCAGGTGATCCACCCACCTCGGCCTCCCAGAGTGGTGGGATTACAGGTGTGAGCCACCGTGCCCAGGGCCTTGGCAGGCGTTTTCTACTTCCTCATGGTGCCTATGGGTTGGTGCCCCCAAAAGACATCTGAATGGAATATCCACCAAACAGAATACATTCGGCTTCCCAGGCTTTTAACTCTTTTAAGATATACTTCAGCACAGCCAGAACTGCAATGCAAACCAAAGGGTTGGAGGCTGTCTGCCAGAGAACCACACATCCTGGCATCTGCCCTAGAAAGAGGCAATGGAGCAAAGCAAAATAGAGTCAACCAAACCAATGAGGGAAAATGTCTTACTCCCCACCTGCCAAATGCTGCTTGCCAGAAGGATGTCCAGAGGGGAAAATGGTCAGCTTTGCCAGGGACTGAAGGCCTCACTTCAGGGTCCGTGCAGGTCCTGCTCTGAAGGCCACCCACAGCCCAACCACAGAACAACAGTGCCATTTGCCCTGAAGCCTATGGTTGGCCTCAGAAGCCCATGGCTTCTCACTCCTTGCTTGGAACTGCATGTCTTCCTTCCTTCCTTTCTTTCTTTCTTTCTTTCTTTTCTTTCTTTCTTTCTTTCTTTCTTTCTTTCTTTCTTTCTTTCTTTCTTTTCTTTTTCTTTCTCTCTCTTTCTTTTCTTTCTTTCCTTCTTTCTTTCTCTTTTTCTTTCTTTCCTTCTTTCTTTTTCTTTCTTTCTTTATTTCCTTCTTTCTTTCTCTTTCTTTCCTTCTTCCTTCCTTCCTTCCTTTCTTTCTTTTTTTTCCTTCCTTCCCTTTCTTTCCTTTCTTTCTTTTCCTTTCTTTCTTTCCTTCCTTCCTTCCTCCTTTCCTTTCCTTTCCTTTCCTTTCCTTCCTTCCTTCCCTCCCTCCTACCCTCCCTCCTTCCTTCCTTCCTTCCTTCTTTCTTTCCTTCCTTCCTTCCTTCCTTCCTTCCTTCCTTCCTTCCTTCCTTCCTTCCTTCCTTCCTTCCTTCCTTCCTTTGCTGCTGCCTGCTGCTTTCTACTTTCAACAACAACATACTTTCACTCTTTCTCTTTCTGCTGCTGCCTGCACCTTCGCCTGCGCCTGCACTGCTGTGCTACTGCGCAACAGCTGTTTCCTTACCGCCTCTTTCTTTCCTTTGGTGCAAGAAGGAAGTGGGCGGAGCGACGAGCATTCCATCATCATATCATCATTCATTCCATTTGTTTGTTAACAACGACATATATAATAACAACTTATTGCGGTGGGTCAAATATTGTGGCCCGGGCTGGGTGCGGTGGCTGTCTTGGCTCACTGCCCAGAGCTCCAGCCTCCCAGTTCAAGTGATTGCTCACAGGCGGCTGGGATTTTGGGCGCTTCGCCACCACGCCCAGGCTAATGTTTTACTTTGGGTAGGCGGGGTTAGCCATGTTGGCCAGGCTGGTCTCGGGCTCTGGCCTTGGGTGATCCGCCACCTGGGTCTCTGAACCGTGACTTTGACACCAGCACAACCGATGTCTGTCACACTTGCAATTTCTCAGCATTTGTTTATTTATTTATTTTATTATTATTATTTTTGAGACAGAGTCTTACCATCCAGGCTGGAGTTCAGTGGAGGGATCTCAGCTCACTGCAGCCTTGACCTCCTGGGCTCAAGTGATCCTCCCGTCTCAGCCTCCTGAGTAGCTGGGACCCCCAGGCTGCGCCACCACACCCAGTTAATTTCTGTGTTTTTTTTTTGAGACAGGGTTCGCCATATTGCCCAGGCTTTCTCAGCTTTTACATCCATCATCTTCCTGGGACGAAGGCGGCAGGCAGGACCAGCAGCTAGTTCATCAAGATCCAGACTTAAGTGCGATTTTTTAAGAACTGTGTAAATACATATTATGAAATTACCATCTTAATCATTCGTGCTGAAGTTCAATCGCATTAAATACGCTCACATTTGTGCAACTCTGACCACGTTGCATCTCCAGAGCAGCCATTAAACTCCAAACTGAAACTCCACAAGCACTCACTCCACGTCCTCTCTTCCACATCACCTTGCTTTCTGTCTCTGGGAGTTTGGCTCACTCTAGGTACCTCGGATCAGTGGAATCATAGGTATTAGTCTTTTGTGACTGGCTCATTTCCCGGCTGCTGATGCCTTTAAGGTTCATTCACGGTACCAGGTATGGAACTCCTTCCCTTTTCAGGCTAAGCAATATCCCACTCTACATAGTCCATATTTTATTATCCACTCATCCATTGATGGGCTGGAGTTATTTCCAACTCTTAGCTCTTGTGACTTACCCCTTGCTATCAGCACTTGGCTTCACGCTCTGCTTCAGTCCCTGCTTTCGGTTGTTTTGGATATACTGACTGGGACTTTTTTAAAAATTAAAATGAATGCAAATCTCACAA